CACTGCTAGATTTCTCTCCAGTTTGTTGGGAATAGAGAGATGAATAGCGCATGCGCCACAGCTGGAGCCTGGAAAATCTGTCCCAGCATGCAACAGAATGTAAAAAGATCGCAAGGTTTAGAAAAGGAGACATGTTGAAGCGTTCTAGTATCTTCAAAATTATTATGGTGCATGCGTGCCATAATGCAGGCATATTCTGATTATTTAATACATTGTGATTATTTTATGTGCTTATCGTATACTACTGCTGGACAGTTCATAATACATCCATTGAATGTATTTCATTTGAAGGATTTCCCCCACAACTTTCACTATCACAATGTATAGCGTTATTATAGCTTCTATAGGTAGTGTAAATAATGTGTATACATTTAGATTTGAGTCATTTAGCAGATGCTCTTATGCAGAGCGATTTACAGTTAATAATGCATTCATTTTAAAGGTCGACGTTGGGCACGAAAAACGGTCCAACTCCGCCCCTTTTTCAATTTTCGAACATAAATGGGGTGTGCCTTTCTTTGGTGATTTGTCGATGTGTCATTCTGGTCATGCGTGCCGCGACCTACGTAGCTTGTTCGTTGACTAAACTAGCCACTTCAGCTAGCCAGTGATGGTGCTTTCAAGACAAATGGGAACTCGAAAAAAAAAAAAAAACGAGGTTAAATCATGATGTCAGTGATCTTCAGGTTGGAAAGTCGGAACTCTAGAAAGATGCCGAGTTCCCGACTTGGAATTCCGAGTTGGATGACCTTTCATAACGTGCTTCCCAGTCTGAGCTATTTTATCCCGAGTTCAGAGTTGTCTTGAACGCACTGAAGTCGAAGATTTCCGAGTTCCGAGTTGTTTTGAACGCGGCATAACTCTTCCAGTATGTGTTGACATCATTTCCAAGTATTTGTGTTTGGACGGAAGCTGTAGAAATAGGTAAGAAATAGCACTTCTGTAGCCAAATGTCTTATTCATTCATTTTTGTTTTTAAGCATTAAATGACCTGGTATGATGGTGCATTGATCAGTTAGTTATACAGTTTTGGTCCAAAGTCAACCTTTAAGATAGTTAGGTGAGACAACCACATATCATAGTTGTAGTAAGTACATTTTTCCTCAATAAAGAAGTTAGTGCTAGTAGGCAAAGAAAAGTGTACAAGTTTTTTATTTATTTATTATACATACATCTTAAGTGTATGCATTATCATACATCTTAAGTGTATCAGGCCCAGCATGTTCAATTCACTGTAGGGGCCTTGATGCAGCATCTGGATCATGCCTCCATCCCAAGGTGTGAGAAAGGGAATCTGAGATGCAATGGGCTTTGCTGCCACCTAGTGACCAGATGGAGCTCTCCAGCTCCCTGTGGTGCTGAAATCTACAGTACCATACAACATTCATACTGTACTTCAGCACTGCATCAGAAATTCTGCTAGCCGGATAGATGAAGGACTGCATGAATCGGTCCAATTCTCAAAATCCAAATCCTGAATTGTCAGCACTGTTGTGACATTCATTCAAAACCATACACACATTCATGGGTTTGCACAGGTGGTGGATAATATTATGCCATTTAGCAGACGCTTTTATCCAAAGCGACTTACAGTCATGTGTGCATACATTTTTACGTATGGGTGGTCCCGGGGATCGAACCCACTACCCTGGCATTACAAGCGCCATGCTCTACCAGCTGAGCTACAGAGGACCACATTGGATATACATTGGATGAATGTTGTTGCATCTTTTTAATTTCTCCCAGGATAGTGCGCCTGTGTTTTTATGCTCGGAACTGACTCCAACCCTGCAGTAGAGAGATCACAAACAGACCGTACACGTTGTTCAGAGCAGTCACTATACTTTATTTTAGGGGGAGAAATAGTATACAATTTCTTCTGTACAATATTTAACTATCACTTCCAACCAAGCCCTGAAACTGTTTTGTTAAATACTTGCAAAACAAAGGAAAAGATGGTATGTTTATTTTGATAGCAGGATGGCCATTTATGACTATGGTGAAAATATCGGCAGGTAACACAAACCTCAGTTACAGTGACACCAATTCTATTGTGATGACGAAAATAATGTGTCACCATAGAAAATCTTAAATGAAAAAGAAAAACTCCATAACTTGTCAAATCTCAGGTCATATTCCCACAGCATTGTTAACTACACAAGTCTATGGTTGCACCATACAATCTGCCTTCAACACTGATAAATGTTGTGGGAAAGTTGAGTGACAGCTAGGATGTCTGTCTGATTAGTCTGAGGTAATGAATGAGCCAATCCAGGGAGTCTTTGCTAGCCTACAGACATATAATAACAATACTTTTTCGTTTGAAAGAGAAGTGAGCATTGTCTGGGCCTTGACATAAATTAATAAAACCATTTTTCTTACAATACAATTACATATCAAATGAACATTAAAATCTCTTTTGGAATATTATTAACATGATAAAGGATTGTTTTCTTTTTCGCCTCGAGACCATAAAAACAACCTCATGCTAAAATCACTATCTAAAACAACATTCATATGTACATACTGTGCATTTTCCATCCAGTCATCTGCTAATGTCATAGAGGGGTTTGGCTTTTGTTAAGGTGTATACTAGAATGTAGGCGAGATGTAATGTGTACCTCCTTAAGAACATGATGGTGTCATAGAAGTAGCTTGTTTAACATGAAAGAAAGCCTAGAAACCTTCTGAGGCCAGAGGGGGAGCATCTGTTTAGGGAGATAGAGCATTTGCACAGCAGCAGTGTTCCTAAAAAAGATATTGTGGAACAAAGTATGGATGCAAACAGATTGGATTTGACTTTCCTCTTTAGCGTCAGTGCTAAAGATAATACAGATACTAAGTGTATAATATCAAAATGGCAGCAGTTGCAAATCTGCCTCCCCTGTTTTTGAAGATTGCTCTTCTGTTGGCTCCCCATCTCTACACTCCTGAATCAGAGTGGCTCCGGTTAGAGAGGAATAGCAAGAGTAGCATAGATGTCAGTCAGTCAGAGAATAAGAAACCCTCTGAGCTACAGGCTATTAGTCCTACAGATGCTGTGACCGCTTTAAATCCATAACTTATGCACCATCGAGTTGGCATACAGTTCTTGCCAGAGAGGATGTACCGGTTTTAAGTCTGAGAATAAACAAAAACAGCTGATTTCATTGATTTAAAAACAAACGCTACATAGAGGGTTAAAGAAAGTTGGTGCCATGGGCAAGAAGCCACTGTCAGTTCCAACTTAGATTGCATACAGTTAACACGGTAAAAGCATGGTGTTATTATATCCCTGAACATCTCTCTATGTGGTAGGATATAACTAAATCTGTCTGACGGAGAGAAGCACAGAATTGAGTCACCAGTGTTTTAGGATTACTAAGAACATAGAACATATTCCGGTTAGAATCTGAAAGCTGCAATTGGCAATTTGAATCTGTTATGTGTTGTCTAAAGTAGCACATAGCCAAAATGGTGGACATGCTGTTAGTGATGGGGAATACAAGATTGAGGGGGAACAGGTATAGATTTTTTTCATGATGGCTACATTAGCAATGTAGAATACCTGACATGATCTGAATAACCCGTCTAAATGGACATCTACCTGAAAACCACAGAAGCTGTAAAGACCTCAGGTATGCACCCCTCGACTAAGTTCTCCAAAATAATGACATGAGAATGAGTCAGAGCCTAAAAGCAAAGAGAAGGGGGTCTTAGAGTAATGTATGCTTCCTGAGACTTATTGAAATATGGTGAAAATAGCAGACTACAAACAGAAAACACCACAAACAGGGCAGGGAGAAAGAGCAATACAGTTACAGTGGATTGTAGACATTTCAGTTTAAAATCAAAAGGGGGTTTCAAACAACCGACACCAGTGTCACACTTTTACATAGAGGCTCAAAAACAAAACAAAACAACAAAAAAAGGCATGCGTTTTAAATATTCTGTGGACACCGCAAACCTAAAAGGGAAGTGCTTTTTAAATATTTTTCCTCAAATATATTCATATTTTCAGGGATGTTCAAAAGGTCAAAACATTTAGGTAAAAACAACAACGCTCACAGTCATATTTGAATAGCAAGGGCAACATAGAAAAGACACAAAATACACAGAGAAATAAAGAAGGCAGGAACACTGGTTTGTGAATGGCCATTTTTGTTGGCATACTCCATTATTTGAAAAAGCTTAAATACCAAACATGTCATCTGAATGTAAATGTCCTGTAGTGGTTTTAGTGTTACAAAGGAAAACATCATTATTTGTAGGATGTAAAACTGAGGTATACCTTGTTGAGAGACTCAAGAGGTTGATGGTTATTTGTATAGAAATGCTGTGAGGCAGGTCCGGATAAATAACCTTGATTACGCTGTTCTCTCTCTCTCTCTCTCTCTCTGTCTGTCTCTGTTTCTTTCTGTACAGCAGTGATACACAGACATTCAGAAGCTGTTTCTTATTGGCATTACAATAGTCATTCAGAGGAACACAAACAGCAAATGTGTTTAAAAACCAAGTTGCCCTTTTTTTTTATACTGAAATGAAATTAACTGTGTGTCGCGATTCTTCTTCTCTCCTGTTCCTCCTTTTCTTAGAAAAACAACTGAAGTCAGTCCAGGAAGTACATTTTCCTTTATTCTACCAAAAAATGGTAATGTCAGCCAAAAGGTCAACTTTAAAATGACTTTTTGTTTATTGTCAAGGTGCTGAACAAAAATATTTGTTCAGTGAGGGGTCTAGATGATTGATTGTCTCCCCCTCTTCCCCCCCATCATGCCCTCCCATTTTAAAGGACCCAGGCATGAGCAAGTCTTTAGGTACACATGTAGCTAAACGCAATAGGAACCAGTTTTGAACTGGATCATTCTCCATGAACCCAGGTCCACTAAATGATTTTGGCGCCACCTTGTGTATAATCCCAGAGTTAGTGACAAACGTTGGAACGAGTCCTGACCCTCTGCTCAGGGAGGCGAGTCTCTTTGGGGTCTGTTCTCCTGTTCTGTGTTAACTCATACGCCTAGTCATAGGCTGGATTCTTTGGGAGGGTAGTCTACATTGGTCACCATGGTGACGACTGTGATGATCTCCTCGGGCGCGGTGACGTTGTTGAGTCGCTGCATCTGCACCATGCGCTCCTCCACACACCCCGCCGACAGGCGCGCCTCCGCCTCGTGGTCCCAGCACTCCTCGATGGTCTCACACAGCATGGTCAAACCCTGGAACACACACACACACACGGTTACCCTCTGCGACACAAGGGCACAATGACACACAGCGAGCAAGGCCCGTGGGGTGTCATGGTACACAGAGAGAGACCAGACACCATTAAGTTAACTAATCTACTGTTACAGATCCACAAGAGAGGAAATAGCCTGGGCGAGGCTGGAAACAGATCCGGTAGGAGAGACTGAGAAACTGTGAGGATGAGGCCACTGGAGACATTTCAGACAGAAATGGCCGCTATCTTCTAGACTGGAGGGAGAAAAATCTGGCCACGAAGAAGGTATCATTCTAGGATCAATAAGAGTCTGAGTTGGGCTCGTGTTAGGATGCTCTGGAGACAGTAGCGATTCAGACAAACCGTCTTAGTTAAACGTAGTCAAGACATAAACAGATGAGGTAAGCAGTGCCCTGGGTCATGGTAGGAAGAGACAGGCTTATACAGGGAAAAGCATGGAGCTATATTTAGCTATAAAAGCCTATTGTCATGTTAATGTTAAAAGCTGTTCAGTGTTTGTACTATTCTCTGGGATATACAGTGCATTCGGAAAGTATTCAAACCCTTTGACTTTTTCCACATTTTGTTACGTTACAGCCTTATTCTAAAATTGATTAAATAAATAGAAATCCTCATCAGTCTACACACTACCCCATAATGACAAAGCGGAAACAAATGTTGCACAATTCAGGTGTGGAAAGCTTAGACTTACCCAGAAAGACTCACAGATGTAATCGCTTCCAAAGGTGATTCTAACATGTATTGACTCAGGGTGTTGAATACTTATCTATATATATATATATAGTGTTTTATTTATTCATAAATCTTTTACACATTTTAGAATTTTTCTTCCACTTTGACAGAGTATTTTGTGTAGATCACTGTCAAAAAATTACAATTAAATCATTTTCAATCCCACTTTGTAACACAACAAAGGGGTGTGAATACTTTCTGAAGGCATTGTACTGTACTTCCTGTCCTTACTGTTGCATGACGATGGGTTTAGGTCGTTTGTAGTTTGGTAGTTTGTGGTAACCCCTGATAGGTTAAGATACATGGTGTATATGATCTACTCACAGCATGTTTCTGCCAGCACTCCCTGAGCGTGGGCCTCAGCTTTTTGTGGACCACAACATCCTGCATGTCCTCCAGGGACGGGTGCTGGCCAATCTCCTCCTCAAACGGCAGCATGTACTCATCCACTGGGCCTGAAATAACACACAGTAGACTGTTACCTCAACACCACAGTGATCCATTCCAACAAAAAAAAAACATTAACAAAATGCAATCAATATACCAATCATTACTTTGAGCTAATAAAGAAAATAAAACAGTGGTCAAAACACAATCGGTGATCTCTGAGTTTTTTAAAATAAGGAATTCAGAGCTGATGCTTTGTGTGATCTAACAGCTCTTGGCCAGTGGAGGTCTCCCTCTGGGCCGTGGTGGTGAGTTGCTCTGACCAGGCTCTAACCCAGAGCTGACCTCCAGTGATAACCACAGAGGTCATGCAGGGCATTCCACATGCTGACCCCCGACACAACAACCCGGGTTAGGCCAGGTGAATACGGCTCCATGGAACCAGACAGACAGAATCCATAACAACAAACTAAACCCCCTGGTTCTCTGGTTAGACAGTGGTGGCCCGTGACCAGGACTATGGTAGTGCTATGGCAGGAAAGGACAACCCTCCTTCTGGAGAGATACTGGGCATGCAGCCTTCTGCTCCAGCCCTACACCTGATTTAGCTAATCAAGGTTCAGAGTAAAGCTGGAACAAAAATCCTGCGGCAGGGTAGCTCTCCAGAGAGTATGCTAGGAAGACAGGAGGAGGGTGGGCCACCCGTACTCTATGGCCCTTCCAGGGAGTGTGTTCTTACCATCAGCAGCCTTGCAGCGAGCGGCCAGCTCCCACAGAACCAGTCCCAGGGCATACATGTCTATCCTCAGGAACGAGTCCCGCTGGAAGTTGATGGCCCCCTCCAGCACCTCAGGGGCCATGTACCTCCGGGTGCCCACCTGGAATGAACAGACACACACATACTGGTTAGACATCAGTCTCAATCGGGGGTCCTACCTGTTTTGGACAATTCACATGTAATTGTGTCAATCTGGCATGAGGGAATACAGAGTTCTGCTTGTGCAAAACAGATTAACAATGTTGATGTTTTTTTTCTATGTAACATGAACGTCGAGGTATGCTGACGTTCTTACAGTCATTTAGAACATCATGGAATCTGGACTACACCTTCCACAACCATTCCTTCCATCAATCATCACTCACCTGTCCATGCGTGTCCCCAGCTGATTTCCCAGCCTCAAACCTCTGGGCCAGGCCAAAGTCAGCGATGCAGGCTGTCAGGTTAGACTTCAGAAGGATATTCTTACTCTTGATGTCCCTGTTGATGACAGCATAACAGAAACACACCAATGAGACAACAGACAGTGTGGGAGAGGAAAGCTGCCCATCATTTACCATGACAAATGCTGTATACTTTCTGGAAGCAGAGATATAGATTTTTGGGGGGGGTAAGTGGAGGAAGTCAATGGACAGAAAATAATAGAATATGTATTTATTGGCAGTGTAATGATAGAGGAACACCAACACATAGAGAGATAGGACAGGTGACCAGGGAGGATGGGAGAGCAAGGAGCTGACCTGTGGGCGATGGCTGGCTTGTGTCCGTCCTTCAGACCAGGGATGTCTTCATGGAGGTAGGCTAGGCCTCGAGCCGTGGTCTGGGCTATGTGACACAGCTCGCTCCACGACAACACGTTGGCCTTCAGATAGTCTGTCAACGAGCCCTGGAAATGGAGGCAGACAACCAGTTAATATAACAGCACCTAGCAATGTGGCTCACCTTGAAGTCAACATGCCACCACAGTCTGACATAATGCCAGCTCATTGTCTACCTCTAACCACTAGAGGGCAGATATATTCAACACATAAAGATTGTTGTAGTGTTCTCTGAAAAAGCGGAAGAAACAGCTCTATCTTGGTCATCTTGTTAACGAATACTGGACCAGTGTTGCTACATAGACAAGCATTTTCACAAAGAAGGTTGATGTCTTGGGATAAATGTTAAATTCTAGCATGACAACATTGAATCAGTAGTGATTTAATTTGCTTTGTTTGTGCTGTGGTCCTCTGGCCTGCAGGGGGGGCTGTACCTTCTCGTGGTACGCTGTGATCAGCCACAGCTCTATGTCCATGTTGGTGCCCCTCTTCTCTGCTCCCAGGAAGTGGAGAAGGTTCTCATGCCTCATCCCGCTCAGGTTGTAGATCTCATACTCATTCTGCCACGACTGCTTGTCCTGAGGACGCCAAACGCACAGAAAACTATTCACAAAGTATTCAGATGTACAATATCAACAGAGAATGGGTTTTGGATTCCTATTAGATAGCAGAGTAGGAATGGTTGAGGGGAGGAAAATTATGTCCAGAGTGTCCAGTATGAAAATAAAAAAACACCAAAAAACCCATTCTTTAAAAATAGTATAATAATGCATGTTCTGTCATGTCAGTTGATGCTCAGTGATCAATCAAGGCCACTATGGGCTTAGTGATTGGCCTCTAAACTAGGGGGCTGGTCAGCCCAGGAGGATTAGTTAGGGCCTGAAGCTTTAAGACTGACAACGCTCTCTTCTCCCTTCCAAAGAAGCAGGGAAAGCCTCCACACAGCCCTCCGTACTTCTACTCGTGGTGGTTAGTGGTTACAGTACTGTACCTGAATGGGGAAGATTTTGACAGCCACGTAATCATTGAGCAACTGAGCCTTCCACACGCAGCCGAAGCGCCCCCTGGCTTTGATCTCAATCAACTGCAGTGGCTTCTGTCCCAGGATGGGGGAGGGAGGCATGGGCCCCGGGTCCTGCAGAGGAGAGGAGAGAGAAACACACATCAAACTCACTGTTTGTTACACAGAGACCAAGCATTAAGTGGGACACTTTTCACATAGTTCTACTGCAGTACATTGAAGTAGGATCCAAAATGGCTTCCATGTTCCAGGGCCAATGGTTGGGCTAGGGCCTCAAGTCGGGGAAAAAGGGAAACTTTGGAGCAGCTGCTGGGCTGGGTGCTATGAAGCTTTGACAGAGGGGGCTTATGGGGGCTAGGGAAGTGGTGAGCTTGTTAAACTTAATCACCAACCTCTGTCTCCTCTCTGGACTACTGGATGACGTCTGACCTACTTACCGTAGAGTAGCAGGGAGGAGCTGACTGACTGACTGACTGCTGCAGCACACCTACACAACAGGGATGCTCAGTCCTGGTCTGGAGGGATATCTATACTCGATTTACACTATAGGGCCAACCAGAACCATTCTGTTCTTTCCAGCTCGGTTTGGCCCAGTAGTGTTAAAAGGATATACCAGTCCAGGTGCTACAATAACCCTTTGAAAGACAACAGAGGTGGGTTGATTGTTTAATTTGAGGTAAAGTTATGGGACTAGAGTTCCTGGTCTGGAACTAGGAGTTTACATGGACTACTCCGGGCCTTTCATATGGACTGATCTGCACTGGAGCCATTTATATATACTGTAGATATATGGCTCTGGTCTGCTACATGGCTCTGATCTGCACTGGAGCCATGTATAGGCATATGCTCTGCTCTACCTATAGATCATGTTTTATGGGCATATCCATCATAGCTCCAGACAGTAATAAAAACAGACCTTTACCTCGATACCATCAAGGAAGACAACTACAAAGGCAGGATGATGATGATGATGACAGACTGATTAAGACCATGACCTTCCTGTGTCTACAGACTGGTATAGGTCTATACAGATGAAGGATCTTACATTTAAACCAGTTTGCTACAGCAGGAAAATATTCCTGCAGCAACAGGGAATGTAAATTATTTTGTGGATTATTTTGTGGCGCAGTGGTCTAAGGCACTGCATCGCAGTGCTAGCTGTACCACTAGAGATCCTGGTTCGAATCCAGGCTCTGTCGTAGCCGGCCGCGACCGGGAGACCCATGGGGTGGCGCATAATTGGCCCAGCATCGTCCAGGGTAGGGGAGGGAATGGCCGGCAGGGATGTAGCTCAGTTGGTAGAGCATGGCGTTTGCAACGCCAGGGTTGTGGGTTCGATTCCCACGGGGGGCCAGTATGAAAAATAAAATGTATGCACTCACTAACTGTAAGTCGCTCTGGATAAGAGCGTCTGCTAAATGACTAAAATGTAAATGTAAATGTAATAATTAATGGACATTTTTTGGGGGGTTGATACATTTTTCGTTAGGGCAAATCAAGTCTGAAATTTCAAAAGTGGAAATTACAAACTTTAGAAGCTTTTTTAAAACTCAAATACACTATATGTTTGCATTTCCTGCCAAGCAGGACAATTCTCAGAAACAAAAATGTGATCAAATTAACATGCTACATCTGTAGACTATTGTATGTTGAACCTTGTTTTCCTGTCTGGAGGTGTAGGTGGGCTGGTCATGTGGGTGAATGGGGCTCCGCAGCACCTATATAATGACCTTTACACCAGCCTTCTGTGTAAACCTGCTGTGTGGGGTGGTGGATGGGTCTCTTATCAACATCTCTGCTGCTCAGCTTCAGAGTTAGACCTGGAGGGTCACAACGGCTACAGCCTGCAGATCATGTTCTAGTATTGTGAAGGCTGCTTGCCTGCTTCAAGACACTTTGTGCATTAGAGGGCCTCTAATGGTTGAGTTGAATAGCAGGGAAGGTAGCCTCTTTAATGTCAGAGAATGTTTATCTTTCCCCGTAGGTTGTACACATAATGACCTGCATGCTACTGTATACGTACAGTCACAACAGGAAGAGAAGAAAGAATATACTGATGAATGACAGCAAAGGGGGAACAGGAAGGAGGGAAGAGGGAAACCAAGTGAAAGAGGGCAGCATATAGGGCAGGATACATAGCCTGGGCCTAAAGCATGCAGCTCAGACCTAACCCCAGCCACACCCTGCACCTCTAGCTGCCTTCACAGTGTTCAAGGTCATGTTTACCTTTCCATTCTCTCAAGTGATCAATCATTGCACAGGCACTCGTAAAAATGAAAACAATGTCATTTTTATGGTCCAGCTGTCCCTGTAGGCTAGGACCGGGCTGAGAGGCCTAACATTCATCATCTGTATGACACATTCTTTTGTCTTCAACAGGAGAATCAATATTGATGTTTACAAGCTACTGAGAAGGGTTATCCTTGTACTGCCTTAGCTATACTGCAAACCAGCAGGTGGTGGGTCGCTTCTGTTCAAAATGGTTATTATATTTAAGTAGCCTATAACTGTGTGTGTGTGTGTGGTTAGCCACCATTCTCCCACCCCACATTGATATAAGACCCCATATCGATAATTTCACCATCACGTTCTTTGGCTGCATTCATAGCATGCTCAGACTCTTGCATTCCAACCACTGAGGCATCGGTCCATGCACTTCACTCCTGCTGCTGAATCCCAAACAGGACAGTGGGTACAGCGTATATCCGTGCACATCAAAACACCATTAAGGAGCATCACAAAATAAAAATAATAGTGCGCAGTTACGACTCAAATAGACATGAATGGTGTATCTGAGGAGGTGGCAGGCACAAGCTTGAGGGATATGATCAATCATATTCACAAGAGATGCAGAAACTAATCCAACCAATAAACAGTCCCTGTGAACAGACAGAGAGACTTCTCTTACCTCTATCATAATATGGAAGGCGTGCTAGTTAGAGGAAAGGGGTGTAAAGAAAACAACATTTACAGCATGAGAGGCAAAACAAATGACAGCTGAGCTGATGACCAACGGCCAGAGGATATATTAATACCACTCCTGACCTAGGATCAGGGACACCATGGGTTTGTCCTGAGAGTCAACCGTGGCTTCAACGGACCTCAGTTCAGTTCACTGGGAGCCGTGGAGTTGAACAATAACAAGAGTGGGCCATCGTTACAAAGCAACATCTGGAATGAGTAACCAGTATATCTGCTCTGCTCTGCCCTGTCCTGTCCTTCCCTGCTCTACTCTGTCCTTCTCTGCCCTACTCTGCACTGCTCTGCCCTACTCTGCCCTACTCTGCCCTGCTCTGTCCTGCTCTGCCCTACTCTGTCCTGCTCTGCCCGCCTGAGAAAGCTTTCTCTTTCTCCCAGCACCGACTGACTGTAAACCATGTTACAAAACAATCCTATTCAATCTCCAGCCAATTCATTCCTGTTTCCACCATTCACACACCATTGATGAGGCAATAGGGGCGAAGGGAGTGACTAACAAAACTCCTGTGGCAAATCAGAATTAGTAATGGTGTGTGTGACAATGGTAGTATGTTAAGCGTATGTGAGGAGAGAGGTTGCTGCCTGCCAGGTTTTCAAGCAGAGCTCTGAGTTCAGCCTGAGGACACTGTAAAAAGGACAAGCTGACGGGAAGCATTTCAGCGGCTGCCAACAATTCCCTCAGAATTTAGCAATGGCTGTTACAGTGTGTGATTACGCTTCTGGTCCCTTCCCTCCCCTGACACACCGCCAAGCAAGCACACACTGTTCCTTCACACACACGCATACACACACGCAGCTAAATGCTACTGTAACGTAAATTAATTTGAGTGAGTGTGTGTGTGTGACTCGGAGTGAGCGAGAGAGCAAGTGATGCATGTGTGTGAGTACAGATGTGTGTGAAAACAAGCAAGAGCTTGCACAAGAAAGAAAGACCATGAGAATGTCAGAGTCAAGACGGTAGGATAAATAAGAGTATAAAATGAAATCTCAGGCAGCAGTAACACCTGCACCTGTGAAATAAAGCTGACCAAGGACTTAAAAGGACCCAGGTGGCATTAAGCAGAGTATGCCAAGACACTTTGTGCTGAATTGTCTGTCACTCCAGTGAGATGTTGGTAGTGCAGGGAAAGCAAGGGTTGTAGTAGCATTTTCCCCCTCAGGAGACTGAAAAGATTTGGCATGGGTCCTCAGATCCTCAATTGTTTTTACAGCTGCACCATCGAGAGCATCCTGACTGGTTGCATCACCGCCTGGTATGGCAACTGCTTGGCCTCCGACCGCAAGGCACTACAGAGGGTAGTGCGTACGGCCCAGTACATCACTGGGGCCAAGCTTCCTGCCATCCAGGACCTCTATACCAGGCGGTGTCAGAGGAAGGCCCTCAAAATTATCAAAGACTCCAGCCACCCTAGTCATAGACTGTTCTCTCTGCTACCGCACGGCAAGCGGTACCTGAGTGCCAAGTCTAGGTCCAAAAGACTTCTCAACAGCTTCTACCCCCAAGCCATAAGACTCCTGAACAGCTAATCATGGCTACCCGGACTATTTGCATTGCCCCCCCACCCCCACCCCATATTTTTACGCTGCTGCTACTCTGATATTATTTATGCATAGTCACTTTAACTCTACCCACATGTACATATTACTTCAACTACCTCAACTAGCCGGTGCCCCCGCACATTGACTCTGCACCGGTACCCCCCTGTATATATAGCCTCCCTACTGTTATTTTATTTTACTTCTGCTCTTTTTTTCTCAACACTTTTTTGTTGTTGTTTTATTTTACTTTTTTATTAAAAATAAATGCACTGATGGTTAAGGGCTGTAAGTAAGCATTTCACTGTAATGTCTGCACCTGTTGTATTCGGCGCATGTGGCCAATAACATTTGATTTGATTTGATTTGACTTGAAGCTGAATGCACTGAAGGCAGCGAGTGAACGAGTGAGGAGAGACAATAAGGAGGGTTAAAAGGCTGTGTGCCCTTTGTCCCTCCCTTCATATCTCCCTCCCTATCTGCCTCCCTCTCTCTGCTGAAGGACATGCTTACTCAAAAGGTGCCTTTACAAGGCTGATGAATAATTAACAAGCTCTCCTCCCCCTCTCCACTCCACTCCTCCCCCTACTCTTCTACTCTCCTCCCATTCTCCTCCCCCTCTCTACCCT